TTTCCTTGCTTCTCATATGGGCATTTATTCTTCTAAATTTTCCTTTAGACATCACTTTACATGTGCCCCAGAGATTCTGGTACATTGTGTCTTCGTTCTCATTGGTTTCAAAGAACATTTTTATTTCTGCCTTCATTTCATTGTTTATCCAGTCAATATTCAAGAGCCAGTTGTTCAGTTTCCATGAAGTTGTGTGGTTCTGAGTTAGTTTCTTAATCCTGAGTTCTAATTTGATTGCACTGTGGTCTGATAGACTGTTATGATTTACATTCTTTTGCATTTGCTGAGGAGTGATTTACTTCCAATTATGTGGCCAATTTTAGAGTAGGTGTGATGTGGTGCTGAGAAAAATGTATGTTCTGTGGATCTGGGGTGGAGAGTTCTGTAGATGTCTATTAGGTTTGCTTGGTCCAGATCTGAGTTCAAGTCCTGAATATCCTTGTTAATTTTCTGTCTCATTGATCTAATATTGACAGTGGAGAGTTAAAGTCTCCCACTATTATTGTGTGGGAGTCTAAGTCTCTTTGTAGGTTGTAAAGAAATTGCTTTATGTATCTGGGTGCACCTGTATTGGGTGCATATATATTTAGGATCATTAGCTCTTCTTGTTGCCTTGATCCTTTTACATTATGTAATGCCCTTCTTTGTCTCTTTGGATTTTTGTTGGTTTAGAGTCTATTTTATCTGAGACTAGGATTGTAGCTCCTGCTTTCTTTTGCCCTCCATTTGCTTGGTAAATCTTCCTCCATCCCTTGATTTTAAGCCTATGTGTATCCTTGCATGTGAGACGGGTTTCCTGGATACAGCACACCGATGGATTTTGACATTTTATCCAATTTGCCAGTCTCTGTCTTTTGATTGGGGCATTTAGCCCATTGACATTTAGGGTTAATATTGTTATGTGTGAATTTGACCCTGCCATTTTGATGCTAGCTGGTTGTTTTGCCCATAAGTTGGTGCAGTTTTTTCACTGTGTTGATGCTCTTTACCATTTGGTACATTTTTGGAGTCGCTGGTACTGGTTGTTCCTTTCTATGTTTAGTGTTTCTTTCAGGAGCTCTTGTAAGGCAGGCCTGGTGGTGACAAAATCTCTCAGCAATTGCTTGTTTGTAAAGGATTTTATTTCTCCTTCACTTGTGAAGCTCAGTTTGGCTGGATATGAAATTCTAGGTTGAAAGTTCTTTTCTTTAAGGATATTGAATATCAGCCCTCACTCTATTCTGGCTTATAGGGATTCTGCTGAGAGATTTGCTGTAAGTCTGATGGGCTTCCCTTTGTGGGTAACCCGACCTTTCTCTCTGGCTACCTTTCATTTCCTTCATTTCAACCCTGGTGAATCTGACAATTATGTACCTTGGGGTTGCTCTTCTTGAGGAATACCTTTGTGGTGTTTTCTGTATTTCCTGGACTTGAATATTGGCCTGCCTTGTTAGGTTGAGGAAGTTCTCCTGGATAATATCCTGAAGAGTGTTTTCCAGCTTGGATTCATTATCTCCATCACATTCAGCTACACCTATCAAATGTAGATTAGATCTTTTCACATATTCCTGTATTTCTTGGAGGCTTTGTTCATGTCTTTTCACTCTTTTTTCTCTAACCTTGATTTCTCATTTTATTTCATTGAGTTGATCTTCAATCTCCGATATGCTTTCTTGTGCTTGGTCAATTTGGCTATTGAAATTTGTGTATGCTTCGCGAAGTTCTTGTGTTGTATTTTTCAGCTCCATCAGGTCATTTATATTCTTCTCTAAGCTGTTTATTCTCATTAGCATTTTGTCAAACCTTTTTTCAAGGTTCTTAGTTTCTTTGCATTCAGTTAGAACATGTTCTTTTATCTCAGAGAAGTTTGTTATTACCCACCTTCTGAAGCCTGTTTCTGTCAATTCATCAGACTCATTCTCCATCCAGCTTTGTTTCCTTGCTGGTGAGGAGTTGTGATCCCTTGGAGGAGAGGCGTTCTGGTTTTGGGTGTTTTCATCCTTTTTGTGCTGGTTTCTTCCCATCTTTGTGGATTTATCTACCTGTGCTCTTTGTATTTGGTGACTTCCGGATGGGGTCTCTGAGTGGACGTCCTTTTTTTGATGATGAAGTTACTTCTCTCTGTTTTTTAGTTTTCCTTCTAACAGCCAGGCCCCTCTGCTGCAGGACTACTGGAGGTCCACTCCAGACCCTGCTTGCCTGGGGATCACCTGTGGCAGCTGCAGAACAGTAAGGGTTGCTGCCAGTTTCTTCTCCTGTTATCTTTGTCCCAGAAGGGTACCTGCTAGCCATCAGCCTGTGCTCTCCTTTATGAGGTGTCTCTTTGGATATACAGGGATCAGGGAGCTGCTTGAGGAGACAGTCTGTCCCTTATAGGAGCTCAAGTGCTGAGCTGTGAGCTCCATTGTTCCATTCAGAGCTGCTGTGCAGGTACATTTAAGTCTGCTTCAGTGGAACTCATAACTGCCCTTTTTTCCAGGTGCTTTGTCCTGGGAAGGTTGGGCTTTATTTATAAGTTCCTGATGTGCTGCTGCCTTTTTTCAGAGATGCCCTGTCCAGCAAGGAGATGGCCTAATCACAGTCTGCCAGCAGAGGTGTTGCTGAGCTGCTGTGGGCTCTGCTCAGCTGCTGTGTGAACTTCCTTATGGTTTTGTCTATAGAGTTATAGTTAGAACTGCCTCGGTAATGATGGTCTGCCTCAGTAATGGCAGACTGCCTCAGTAATGGCGGATTGCCTCGGTAATGGCAGACTGCCTCTGTAATGGCAGACTGCCTCAGTAGTGGTGGACTGCCTTGGTAATGACAGACACGCCCTTCTCCCCACAGAGCTGGACCACCCTGGGTCCAGCTGTGCTTGCTGTTAAAGTCTCGATCCAAAGCGTTTCAGATTGCTGGTCTTTGTGGGGGTGGGACCCGCCAAGCCACATCACCTGGCTCCATTTCAGCTCCCTTTTATTCAGTTGAATGAGTAGCTTTGTCTCCCAGGCATTCCAGGCACCAGTTGAAACAGCCGCCCAGATTTGTGTGAGTTTTTGTGTGGAGACCCACTGCACCAGCTGAAACAGCCATGCTGGAAACTCAGCTTGGAAACATGGCGCTTTTCAACCTGGGAATCTCCTGGTCTGTGGGCAGTAATAACTCATTTGGAAATGTGATCACTCACTCTCTGCAGTGTTCTGGCTGGAGGCTGCACTCCAGAGCTGTTCCTATTTGGCCATCTTGGATCCCCCTGCTCTTTTTTGTTTGTTTGTTTTTTCCCTTAAGACAGTCTTGCTCTGTCTCCCAGGCTGGAGTGCAGTGGTACAATCTCAGCTCATTGCAACCTCTGCCTCCTGGGTTCAAGCAATTTTCCAGCCAGGCAGGATTACAGGTGCCCACCACCATGTCCAGCTAATTTTTGCATTTTTAGTAGAGACGGGGTTTCACCATGTTGGCCAGGCTGGTTTTGAACTCCTGACCTTAGGTGATCCACCCGCCTTGGCCTCCCAAAGTGCTGGGATTACAGGCATGAGCCACTGTGCCTGGCCTGATTCTCCCTCTTAATTGCCACTTCTTTCCACCTACTCCAAGCAGCATTTGGCTTATGCACAGTACACTTCTACTTTTGCCCACTTTCAAAACTGTAGCGAGTGGGTTGTTGTTGTTGTTTTTTTAATGCTAATTTGATCATACCTGTCCTTTTTGCTTAAAATCCGCTAATGGCTTCTCATTGATCATAGGGTAATGGTTAAAATATTCAATAACGCACTGAAAGTGCCACAGGATCTATTCTGACCTGGTGTGTATGTCACCAGATCCATCTTGTGATGCTCTTCCTTGCCTTTCTACACTCCAGGTAATTCCTGAACTTCTCATCCTTATTTTTAATTCTGGTGTTACAACAGCATTCATACCTGCTGTTCCCTCTGTCTGGAATGCTCACTTTCTCCTTATGCACACCCTGATCTTTCAGACTACACCTTAACTGCCACTTTCTTGGGGTAACTTTCTCATTGTTCTTGGTCTGAGGTCAAATATCTCACACCTTCATAACAGCTTATCACAACCGAAATTTTAAAATTTTTGAAATTATTTGTTTAATGCCTATCTTTCCTGCTATAATCTAATCACAAAGAGAAAAGAAAGTAGGTCTTATTTTTGTATCCCCAAAGCCTAACATCTATCATGTCTTGCACATAGTAAAAGGTCAATAAATCTTTATCAAATTATGAATAAATATCTTGATAAATAAATGTGTTTGAATATAATACTGGTCAAATCATAAACAGAATTACCTGAACCAAAGTTACAATATTACACAATTAACCTTAATGGTGTCAGTCATACTCTCTGACAAAAGATTTGCAAAGCTTCAATGTGTATGTACACAAGGATAAGAAGTGAGAACTCCAAAAGTACTTAATGACAAAAGAATAAGGTTGTATCTTAATATATTACCTAAATTCAAAGGAATCACACCTATATTCAAATAAAAGTTTGGATACAAGCCCCAAAGTTACACTATTAAGATAGAAAACTCTCTGGGCACACTGACTCATGCCTGTAATCCCAGAACTTTGGGAGGCTGAGGCGGGCAGATTGCCTGAGGTCAGGAGTTTGAGACTAGCCTGGCCAACATGGTGAAACCCTGTCTCTACTAAAAATATAAAAATTAGCCAGGCGTGGTGGCAGGCACCTGTAATCCCAGCTACTCAGGAGGCTGAAGCAGGAGAATTTCCTGAACGCAGGAGGCAGAGGTGGCAGTGAGCCAAGATTGCACCACTGCCCTCCAGCATGCATGACACAGTGAGACTCCATCTCAAAAAAAGGAAGAAAAAAAAGACAGAAAACTCAGATTATCTGAAAAAATAATAAAGACCACACAATCCAAAATTTTGTATTTTATGTATATATATTTGAAACTAGTTATAGAGATCACAGTCTCTTAACTTATAAAATGAGTAAATTCAATCTATTCAAGTAAAATCAAAGCTTATTTTAAAGATCTTCACATTTAAAATTAATGAGAAAGAACTACAAACTCCTGAACCAACATTTTATTTTAAGTTAGGTCTTTAGTGCATATGAAAATTGTTCATAACACATGACACATAAAGATGTTGTCACATTGAACTACAATAGAAAATATTTTTATACAACTTTTGAAATTACTAATATGCTTATTTCTCCTGTAGAAAAAATGCAGTTTGTTTAAATCAACTTTGTCATGGAATATCAAGTAGGTTTAAAATTTTTATATTATTGTTTAATAACTTTTTAATAAGACTTTGAGTCTCCCCTTGATCTACACATAATATATTTTTTAATGTATGGAATACTGTAGCAGCTTTTTCTCTCATCTCCGGTGGAACACATTTAATATCTAAATATTCATAGAGCTTAAATCTAGAATTATACAGCATGTTAATAACAGTTTCAATGTCATCAATTTTATTACTCGTTTGTCCTAGTGACAATAACTGGGATTTATACATTGTTTTTAATTTATGTTCTGCTGCTGCTGCTAGAGCAAGGCTTCGTTTTAGGTAATCTTTAGAGGCTTGAATATCTTCTCTATATTCTGGTTTGCTGGTGTCACTAAGTGCCTGTTGCACTCGTGAATTAATATCTAAAATTTTTTTCAAAATGTCATCATTATTCCAACTCTGTGGGTGTCTTCCAAATGTTGGTTCTTCAGGATTTTCTACTGCAGTTTCACCAGAGAGCTGAGGAACATCTTCTGATTCTGTAGACATCTCAATCCCTGTGCTCCTATAAAAAGAGGTGACAGGTGATTCGCATGAGGTGAAATATGGACTTGTATATGATTCAGTAACAACTGGCAATGTTTTTGGTGCCTTAGTGTGTCTTGCAGTTGGCTCCGGCTCCGGCTCTGGCTCTGGCTCTGGCTCTTCATTTTCAATATAAGGTTCGTCTGTGCGTAAAACAATGGAAACATTGTTTGGTTTGATTGACCAGAATGGGGTACTTTCAATGTGTTTTTTCCTTCCTGTTTCTGGTGTGAAGCCTCTAGTAGGGAAAGTTGTAGGTTCTTCACTCACAGGATTGATTAAACCATCATTCTCAGTTGAAGTGTCTCCGTGTGTAATTATCTCCTTAAATTTTGATCCCTTCGATCTTACAGAATAAACATGTTTTGGAGAATTAGATTTTTTCTCACGACCTGGCTCCCTAGTGGGAACACTTAGTATTAGGTTCTCTAAAGCTTGTATATAATGATTCAAGTTTTGTTCTTCATCAGGTGTCATAGTTATGCCTTAAGGGAAAAAAATCAAATAAATAATAAGTAACATTTATTATTATATACGACACATTGACAGAATCTACTGACCAAAATTTATTTCATATGCTATCACTTAAAAATTGAAATAAAGAACCAATAAGCAAAGCACTTTTGATACACAGTTAACTTTCACTTAAATAAACAAAATTATTTCTTCAGGTTCTTATTAAAACAGTTGAGTAAGATTATTGCAAAAGTTGCATATTAACACCACTCTCTCTACATTGCTGCTTTGATCCTCCCATACAACTTATGATTCAACAGGCAACTTATTAAACCAAAATTCTTGATTATGTCCTCTGACACAATGGTGTGCTGGAGTAGGCTTATACTGGTTCACTAGAGCCCATTGTTAGATTTTTATGAATTTTGTGAGCCAGATGTTACACACAGACATTTTTAAAAATTAACTTATTTACATTTACAAATAAATCATATTAAAAACAAATGCAATAAATACCCCAAACTCATCGCTTTCTAATTATTTCACTATTTTCTCTGCTGGTGAGGTTATTTACATCTAGTGTGTCTGTATGATGAAAATGTAATATGATGGTGTGCTATTGTGCATCTCTACCTCCCTGCTCAGTGATGTCAACTTGATAGTTTGAAATCAACCATGGTGAGAGTATCTACGCCATGTAAATGAGCAAATGCTATAAATCAGAGTTTCCTCCTCTCTCTCAAAAGCCAGTTTTAAATATTTACCAGTGTACTACTGCCTTAAACTCAACAAAGATCTAACTAAGTAACGTTTTATTGGAACCCAATTAGTCTTGTCCATTTGTTTATGTATTATCTATAGGTGCTTTTGCCTGCAACAGTAGAGTAGCCATAAGAGACCACATGGCCTGCAAAGCTGAAAATACTATCTGACCCTTTACAGAACAAGTTTGCCGGTTCCTGGTCTAAATCATCAACATTTCACTCTTAACAACAGAATGGTAGTTCTATTTCGTGAACCACTGGCTGCACCTTCCTTCTCCTCACCCGCCCGTGGATTAAAAAAACATATATATTCTTGACTAAAGTCTGATCAGGAAATATTTCCTGTCTTTTATTTTAAGCATCAAATTGTCTTAGTTGACTTAAAAAGGAAAAAATACAGAAAAGACCAATAAAAGGCCAAGGGTATTGTTGGGGCATCTAATGTGGAGGGTCTTTTTTTGAGGGGTCTCCTAAAATAAAATATTTTGATAAGCAAAATTTAAAAAATGGTAGTTCTATTTATACTCCTATTTTGCAGCATCTGAGCAGTAAACCCTCTCATTTCCAATGTGGAGAACAGAAAAGATAATAAGATATTCTGGAATTCTGGGAGTAGTTTTATTTTAAGCATCCAATTGTTTTAGTTGATTTAAAAAGGAAAAAATATAGAAAAGACCAAAAGAAGGCCAAGGGTATCGTTAGGGCCTCTATCTAATATGGAGGGTCTTTTTCTGAGGGATCTCCTAAAATAAAACATTTTGATAAGCCAAAAAAAAACACCAGTAGTTATATTTATACTCCTATTTTGCAGTATCTGAGCAGTAAAGCCTCTCATTTCTAATGTGGAGAAATGAGAAAAGACAGTAAGATATTAAGATATTCTGGAATTCTGTTCAATTAAATGTGACTTTTAATGGTTTACAGTATTTAAAGGTTTACTGTATTAAAATACTCCTGACCCAGAGTATTTTAATTTTAAGTGCCATGATATTTTACTATGTGCTGTTTTAAGGTTTGCCATTTTCAAGTATACAAATTGATTTAACCCAGAGAAGGAAGTCACTAACCCAGGGAAGGAAGTCACTTCTCACCAAACGCTAATGTATTACTCCTACCTGAACCATCCCTCTGCAGGCTAAAGTAATAAACTTTCTGTTCAGGAGGCACTTTTATTTAGCTTTTTGGTAAGCACAAAGTACTCAAAAATTGCCTTGTATTTACATGTTTCTCCTCTCTTCTTTATTCTGTTACAACTTAGAAAGACCAGATAGCCCGGGCGCGGTGGCTCAAGCCTGTAATCCCAGCACTTTGGGAGGCCGAGGCGGGTGGATCACGAGGTCGAGAGATCGAGACCAACCTGGTCAACATGGTGAAACCCCGTCTCTACTAAAAATACAAAAAATTAGCTGGGCATGGTGGTGCGTGCCTGTAATCCCAGCTACTCAGGAGGCTGAGGCAGGAGAATTGCCTGAACCCAGGAGGCGGAGGTTGCGGTGAGCCGAGATCGCGCCATTGCACTCCAGCCTGGGTAACAAGAGCGAAACTCCGTCTCAAAAAAAAAAAAGACCAGATAGACGTTTAATCAAAATTAAAACCGTATTTCTAAATTTTAAAAAATTCTTAATAAGAACAGTTTAGTGAGCCAATGTGGTAGTGGAAAGATACCACACTTGCCTGGAGATCTTGATTCTAAAAGCAAATTCTACATTTTACGTAATGCTTAGAAAAGCCTTGTATACTCCTAAGATCCAAATGATGATGATAGGTGAAAAAGAAAGCATAGAACATAAAGTAGAGTTTGATGCTATCCTTATAACACTTTTAAAAAATCACTCACATAGTATCATATATTTTGTCTGTGAACTGCAGACTTTTTTACTGGACTGGAATGATAACAAACTAAACCCATATGGGCAGTTGCCTCTGAGGAGAGGGAGTAGGACTCCGTTTGGTCAGTAGAGGTGACTTTATAATGTTTTACTCCCTAAACACACACACACACACACACACAAACACACACACACACACACCCCTCAATCATTTAATACAGTAAACCATTAAAAGTCACATTTACTTTTTAAGTTTCAAGTATTTTTTCTCCTTTATTTTTTAATGACAAAAATTGTATGAAAATCACATTAAAAATAACTTATTCATGTAAACTCATATTTATAGAACGCATTGTTCAGAGTCTTCATGAAGGTAATATTGAGTAAAATGAATATCCCTTGTGCAGTGAAAATAAAATATTTGATCCTGGTCCTGGCTCTACCAATTTATAGCAGCATGACCTTAGGCAATTATTTAACTTATCTGAACATTCACTTAACTATAAAACTAAGATACTACATTTGCCTTTTCATCTCACAGAACCAAATAAATTAAATATTTTTAAGCATTTTCAAAGCTATAGAGCACTAATAAGATATTATTCTTTATAAAGGTAACTGCTTATATTTCTCATTTTAAATATAAATTTCCTTTAAAATTTGGTAGAAAAACATGGTCCCTAAAAAGAACATTAAAATATGCTTTGTATCTTATTTAATGGGAAACAGTAGAAGCTTTTCCGCTAAAGACAGGAACAAGGTAAGAATACCTAATATCCTCATTACTGTTAATATTTAACATCATATTGGAGACACTAGTCAATGCAATTAGACAAGGGAAAATAATTGGGGACATGAGAATTGGAAAGAAAGAGGTAAAACTATCTTCATATACAGATGATGTAATTATAAATACAGACAACACAAAAGAATCCATTGAAAAGCTACCACCATTAGTAAGAGAATTTCATAAACAGCAAGTCATGAAAATCAATATATTAAAATGAATATACAAATAAAAACTAGTTAGAAGAGATGAGAAAGAAGATGCTGTTTACATAACAGAAAAAAAATGAAACAAATATTGGCTGTGTGCAATGACTCATACCTGTAATTCCAGCACTTTGGGAGGCTGAGGGGGACAGATGGCTTGAGCCCAGGGGATCAAGACCAGCCTGGGAAATGTGGTAAAATGCCAACTCTATAAAAATACAAGAATAAGCTGGGTACAGTGGCATACACCTGTAGTCCCAGCTACTGAGAAGGCTGAAGTGAAAGGATCGCTTGAGCCTGGGGATGTTGAGGCTGCAGTGAGCCATGATCTTTCCACTGCACTCTAGCCTGGGATTATATATATATAATAAAACAAAACATTTTTCAATGAAGAGTTATAGTAGGCTAAATAATGAATATTCAAAGATATCACCCTAGAACCCGTAAATATTACCTTAAGAAAAAAGGGTCTTTGCAGATGTGGTTAAATTAAGTTTCTTGATGTGGGGCGATTATTCTGGATTACCTCAGTGGATTCTAAATCCAATCACAAATAGAGAGACACAAAGAGATTTGACACACATGCAGAAGACAAAGAAGTAGTATAGAGGAAGAGGCAGAGATCAGACTGATGTGGTCACAAGTCAAGGAATGTGGGCAGACGCCAGAAATTGGAAGAGGCAAGGAGCATATCTTCCCTTGAGCTTCCAGGGGGAGCATGGCTCAGCCTATGCCTTGATTTTGGCTCAGGAAAATGGATTCAAGACTTCTGACCTCTAGAACTGTGAGAGTAAATTTCTGCTGTTTTAAACCACCAAGTTTGTGGTAATTTGTTATAGCAGCTACAGCAAACTAACATAGGAATATAATAAAATATTCTGAAAGACATAAATATCAACAAATAGTTATACCATGATCTCAGATGAGAAGATTCAACATCATAAAGATATTTATATGTCATATCCTCTCTTTTAATTTATACATTTAATATGTTCCTTAAAATGCCACTAATTTTTTTCTGGAGTTAGAAAAATTTATTATAAAGTTTATTTGGAAGAACAAATAAGAACAGCCAGGAAAACAAACCCTAGCCTTATCAAATATTAAAATCAAATATTTAAATATGTTACAAAGTCTCTATTATGAAAAATAGTATAGCATTGGCCATGAATAGATGAATGGAGCAGAATGGAAAATACAGAAATAGACCCAATTGCATATGGAAAAAGATGCAATTTATGAACTATTCCAATGAATAATTAAAGAAGCCATTTATAATTAAAATGTGATCATTTTGCAATAATTTTTTTCTCCCAGGCTGGAGTGCAATGGTGCAATCTCAGCCCACTACAACCTCTGCTTCCCAGAGTAGCTGGGATTACAGGCACCCACCACCATGCCCAGCTAATTTTTGTATTTTTTAGTAGAGATGGAGTTTCACCA